ATCCCTGACGAGCAGGGCGTCCCCTGCCACGCAGATGCCACTAGATCAGTGCTGGGACCTGCTGTGCTTTGGGCTGTCACCAAGTCCTGTCAAGGGAACAAGTCCCCGTGACCCGCTTAGCTGATGAAAGTCAATGTTTGGCTTCTAAGCAGCCAAAGATCCCATAGCATGCACTTTCTTTACTGTTTCCTTGCCTTTTTGTGCAGCACTGGCTGGTGTCCAGGCTCTGGCATCTCATGTAGGTGTGGTCCCAGCTCTAAGGAGAGGTAGCAGCAGCTTTACACAGCTCTCCTTTGCTTCCCTGGCCCCCAGGCAAACTCACTTAAGTGTTCCTGCCCTGTACCACCTGTATGAGTGTGGGGATGCTTGTCCCCATGGCCAAGCCATCCAGCTTGCCACAAAAACGGGGTATTTAGGGTAAAAGGAACATCTTTCCTGAAAATGGGGCATTGAGGGTAAAAATTGAGGGTTCCTGAAAATGAGCAATGTCTCAAGGTCCCCTTCTCCTCTTGACAGGGAGTGGCCACAGCAACCTCGAGTCCTGTGGAACAAAGTAAGTGGTGGCTCCATTTCTTCTTGATGATTTGACTGCCAAGCTCGTTATTAGCTTGGGTTGCTGGGAAGAGGGGTCACTGGCACCTCTTTTCTCCTGGTCTACCCTGGGTGCCAGCTCGGGAGCCCCTGGAATCCCCCAGGGACTTGTTGACAATGGAGAAGAGCGAGCTGTTGCTGAGCTTGGTAAAACTCAGGCTGAGGGAGTCTCCAAGTGCATATCCTCAGGTCCTGGGTTTTGAGGTTAGTGCTGATATCAAAGTCTGTCCTGAGCTGTGCTGGAGCTGGAGGGATTTGACCAAAGAATTACAAGGGAATTCAAACCTGCTGCTCTCTTTCCCTCCTTTGGTGTTTGCCAAGCCTGGTGTGAGATGTCTAGGAAGGTGCCTCAGGAAAACAAAATGCTGGGATTAGATGTCTTAGAATGGAGTCTGCATGATTGCAGGAAAACCTGCAGGGTTCAGACTGCTGTGTGCCTGTGGAGGGGATTGAGCACCAGCTCTGTGGGCAGGGGGGCTTTGCTCCCCACTGCAGCCACTTTGGGGGATGCTGGACAAAATGCAGAGCCCCAGCTGCCTCTGTGCATGGTCTGGGCAGGGTTACACACCCCTGTGCAAGTGCTGTCCCTTGAAAAGAGTGGCTGGCTGGGCTGTGATGGGAGCAGGGACCTGTTGAGGCATATGGAAAATGCAGACCCCCCAAGGATATGCTGGAAAGTTGCTCCTGCAGGCCAACAGCCCCTTGGCAGAACCTCAGAGAGGGAAATCCTGGGGGAAGGCATTTCTCCATGTGTTTGTACAAACTGGAGGCCTGTGTGCTGCCATGGACCTCAGAAAGGGGCAAAGCCAGCGATGCTGCTGCATATGCTGGGTTAGCACAGCCTTGTGCCCAGCTGGATTTGGTGCCTTGAGGCATCTCCAGGTCACTTAACCTGCCCAAGGAAGGGAATGATTGGGTCAAGCAAGAGATCTGCCCTGGCACCAAACTGCCAGCACGCTCATTAATGTTTTCCTTCTCCTTTTGTTTCAGGGGGCAAAGGGGCTTAGCGCCTCTGAAACAAATGGAAAATGAAGACCGTGGCAAACCAGCCCTTCCCACACCCAAAAGAGACCAGCCTGAGGAGAAAGCACAGCTGGGGAGGAAAAGCAAAGGGGAATCTGCAAATGGTCTCTAGCTCCTTCCCAGCTGGGGCAGTGGGAACCTGTCCCAGGGCTGTCCCACTTGGCTCCCTCTTTGCTCTGGGAATTGGAGCTACTGGTTTTGCAGGATGATATCTATGAGATGGGAGCTGTAATTTACAGGATGGTAGAAAAGCATCACTCAGGACACCTCGGTGGCAGAAAGCCTCTTGCTGCAATCTCTCAGCAATCCTGGCCCTCTCAATGCCCCCACAACATGTGAATATTCACCCCAAGACTCCCAGCTGAAATCTCCAGGCTTGAGTCAACTTCTGCCTCTGAGGTGTAACATTATAAACCTCTTGAAGCTCTTGTCAGCTCCTTGTTGCTTTTCTTCCATAACTGAGTGTTTCCTCCCAGCAAGTGGAAAGGGCTCTGATTTGCAGCAGCAGATCAGGTGTGTGAGGTTAATCTCTAGGTGAATATGTAGGAGTCAATGATTAAACAAATTTGCCCAGGCTCTTCTAAGAGAACTGACCCCAAACTTTCCTTACCCCCAACTATGGCTGCTCCCTCCTGAAGCTCACAGCTGCGTGGATGCAGCAGTAACTGCAGCAGCAGGAATGTCCCAGCAGGGAGGGGATTCCAGGGGCTGTTTCCAGCCCAGAGGTTGCAGGCAGGCATGGTCAGTGCAGGCACACTGGGCTCAGGGGGGTGGAAGCCCCTACGCTCCAGGTTTTGGATACAGACCTTGGAATAGCAGACTGGGTTGTGAGGGACCTTTGAAGTTGATCTGGTCCAGCTTCCCTTTCCTGAGCAGGGACACACTGGGAGATCTTAACCTGGCCTTGAACACTTCAAGGGATGGGCCAACCACAGTATACTATTCCTTACTTATGTCCAATATGAATGTCCCCTCTTTCAGTTTAAAACTGTTGCTCCTCATCCTTACAGACCTTGGTAAAAAGTATTTTTCCATATTTTGAATAAGCCCCCTGATGTATTGACAGACCAGGTTAAGATCTCCCACCATTGCATCTCTTTAGGACCATCCAGGCAACTGTAACAATGAATTGTGAGCCAAGAGACCACCCTGAGATCCATCCCCTGTGTTTATATCGCATCTTGCTGGTACCAGGACACAGTCTTAGTATTTACATCATTTTCATATAATGTATCCAAAAGCCATGGTGTGCTTTAAAAGCCATTTCCCTGATTGCTACCCCATGTTTTTATTAATGGAGATCCAGAGGGAATGGGCTAAAGGCATTGTGGACACCATGGGGTGGGTAAATAAGCCACAGATATGACACTGCATGGGTTTCCTGCCTTTCTGTAGCTCAGTTTGCACGTTTCCTATTAGCTTTGTTGTGGATATGTAAGTTTTGCTGTCAGGCAGGCCTCAAAATAAACTGGTTTTACAGTAAGCGGATGTGCTTCCTCCTCCTGTTTCTCTGGTGTGAGCCTGACGTGGTAGGATGGGAACCCCTGGGACACGGAGAGGGCTCATCATGGGTCAGACTCCTCACTCTGCAGCTGACCTACAGCCCCCAGTAGCCTGCTGTGGGTTTTTCCCCAGTGATGCTGGGAAGTGACAAGGGGTGTGGGATGCTACTTTGCTGGGAGAGTGCTCGGAGAGGCCAGGACATGGTGCTCGAGTGTTGTGATGTGGGCTCTGGGTTGGATCTTGCAGACCCAGGGCCCTTGGGCTGTGCTAGGACAGCAATTCCCTGGGGGTTCACAAGGGAAAAGGCTTTGGGCTCTTCCAGATTGCAAGGAGAGACAAAACATGGCCTGGAGGTGGGCCAGGTCACCGCTGGTGGAGGTGGCTACCTGTGCTGGGAAGCCAGCACTCACCTGTGTGCAGAGGATTAGAGCTCTCATAGAATCACAGAATGGTTTGGGTTGGAAGGGCCCTTAAAGCTAAACCCCCCTGCTATGGACAGGGACATTTTCCACCAGACCAGGTTGCTCAAGGCCTTCATGGGGTTTTGGCTGTGCTTGGTGCAAAATGGTGAATTTCCTTCTTCCTCCTGGCAAAGGGGCCCAAGGCACCCGTGCAGCACAGCTCAGGGGCAGCAGGGCTGCCCAGCTCTGCAGGCTGAGAGCTGCTTCAGCACTGCCCCATCGAGCCAAGGAAACCTGGGATCTGCCCTAACCTGGCCTCTTGAGAATGTGCTACTGTCACTCCCTCACCCCCCTTTCCCCGTTCCTGTTTCAGTTCATGTAGCCCCTGGGGAACAGGAGGAAACTCATCTCGTCCTGAAAGAGATTGATGATGGCCAGATTAACGAAGAGGTGGCGGCCTGGGGTCACAGGGCTGAGCTGGAGGCAGATGCTCATTCCCTCCCCACCATACAGGAGGAACCTCAGGAAGAGGAAAACAGGTAGGGGAAGGGAGATGCTGTTGGTGGGCAGGTCTGTGTGTTCTCCAGTCCCCAGAGTGGTGGCCATGGGAGGGGACAAGCCTGTCCCTGGGCATCCATCCTTGCAAGTGCTGGGGGTGGAGCTGCCTGTTTCCAAAATGGGGGGCATCCCCCAGTAGGATCCAAAAGCTGCCTGATCAAATGTCTTTTTCTTCTGGTGTCTCGATTTTGGTCAGGGCAGGCAGTGGCAGAGCCACGAGAGCAATGCCCTGCAAAGGACAGGTGAGGGAGGCTCGGCTTAGGCTCCTGTGAGCAGATTTTGGCCCCAAGGCAAGAGGCCTTGGACCTTGTTCCCAGCATTCGTGCATGTAGCTCTAATGGCATTCAGAAATGCAAGTTGTCTCTGTATAATTCACCCTTACTTCTGCCAAAAGAAACCCCTGCTGGGGTCTTCCCAAGGGCTGGGCAGTGTGTCCAGAGCCAGGAGTGAGCCATGCAGGGGGATGAGAGGGGCCCATGCATGCTCACAGAGGCTTTCTGAGCCCCCCAAAATGCTCCCTGAGCCCAGCAGAGCTGGGTGAGCACAGCAGTTCCCCCCTCCCACACGGGCAGTGCTGGGCCTTGCTCAGCACAGGGGATGCCCTGAGCCAGGCTGGCTCAGCAGAGCTCCCCTCTGCTCGGTCAGAACCCGCGGGATGTGCAGAGCTCCCCGTGCCAGGCTCACACCCCTCAGAGGGTTTTACCTAACGGGCTTCTCCTTTCCAGACTGTGCTTGGGCTCCCCAAACGTGACCAAGGGGGAAGAGGAACAGGAGGAGGAGGAGAAGAAAGAGGAGGAGGAAGAGAGGAAGAAAGAGGAGGAAGACAAGAGGAAGAAAGAAGAAGAAGAGATGAAGCAAGAGGAGGAAGACAGGAAAAAGGAGGAAGACAGGAAAAAGGAGGAAGAGGAGAGGAAGATGGAGGAGGAGGAGGACAGTAAAAAAGAGGAAGAGGGCAAGAAAAATGAGGAGGAAGAGGAGAGGAAGAAGAAGGAAGAGGAGAGGAAGCAAGAGGAGGAGGAAAGGAAGAAAGAGGAGGAGAAGGAGAGGGAGGAAGGGGAGAGGAAGCAAGAGGAGGAAGAGGACAGGAAAAAGGAGGAAGAGGAGAGGAAGAAAGAGGAGGAGGACAGAAAAAAGGAGGAAGAGGGCAAGAAAAAGGAGGAGGAGGAGAGGAAGAAGGAGGAGGAGGAGAGTAAAAAAGAGGAAGAGGAGAGGAAGAAAGAGGAGGAGAAAAGGAAAATAGAGGAGGAGAGGAAGAAAGAGGAGGACAGGAAGAAAGAGGAGGACAGGAAGAAAGAGAAAGAGAAGAGGAAGAAAGAGGAAAAGAGGAAGAAGGAAGAGAAGAAGAAGAAAGAAAAGGAGAAGAAAAAAGAGAAGGAGAAGAAAGAGGAAAAGAGGAAAGAAGAGGATAAGAAAGACGAGGAGCAGGAAGAGAGTGCAGAGTGAGTGGCTCCCGTTGCCTTTATGGCTTTGTTGGAAATGAGCGTGATTGCAGCTTTTGTCTCAATTGCGTTCACCAGCTGGAGAGGCTGACAGAGCCCCGGCAGAGCCGAGCTGCCTGCCTGCCGAGGGATGGGGTGCGGGAGGGATCCGGCTCAGCCCGGGGCTCGATGCTGACGCGGCCCCTGGGGACAGGCGAGTGGCCCCTGGTGACACGGGCTGGCTCCGTGGCAACCGTGGCTCCTCCTGGGGCTCGCCGGGGTCGGGAGCAGCCAGCCTCGGGAGATGGGCCCTGCTGTTTACACCGTGCCCATTAATTCAGGGCACTCGGCATCGGTTTGGGTGTTCCAGAGCTGAATGGAAAGACAGGATTATGTGTTGTGTCTGCAGACGCTGCTTCATACAAGTAGGTACAATTTTACATTTTTTCCTGTTGTAGGAAATAGCCGAGTTTTTGTCAGCTGTGGGAGGTGGTGACTTTGGTCTAGATGGTATTGGGTGACATCTTTCTGCTCAGATTAGTAGTTTGCTCTGATTTCACATGAGATAAATATTTAGGGATTTATTACCTAGCACTACAATATTATTCTGTGTTAATTCCCCTAAAGTAGCTAGATTTTCAGGAAGAAGCTGAAAACACATGATTACCCAGTGTCAAACCCATATGTTTGTATTTCATCAAAATCTATTCCTGGAGCTTCCCTATAGAAACATGAGCTTCAGTCGTGGGGGGAATAAGATGCTACTCCATCCTTCAATGTGTTTATTTATTGGGAAAAGAGAGAGAGACCAACAGGTTTTTTAGTTTAGGATGGAAAGATTTGTGATCACATTTGAAAGGAGCATAATTTAAAATATTAAGGGGGAAAAAATATTAAAAATAACAAAACAAATATTTTAATGCATTTAGCTGTCTTAAAATTCTTCTCATTATTCCAAATCCCTGCTTTTCATTTCTTGCCAGGAAATATCAAATCAAGAGATAAATGCACAGAGCAACAATTGAGGTGCTTTTATTTCAGTTATGAAGTTATATTAAGGCAATAAAATCAATCTTGAGAGCCCCTTTGTCAGAATGGTGGAGCTGAAGTCTGTGCTTGCTGCTGAAGGAAAATGAGAATGATGTGTCCTGCTGGTGTCTTGCACAAGCAAACGTGGGATTTGAATAGTGCTTGTGGGAAAGCCTTGCCTGGAAATTAGCTTTCCGCTTTTTATTTGGCCCATTTTAATTATATGAGAAATTATTATGCACAGGAGGAGAAACATTCTGCCTGGATCTTTCTGCCTCTGCAATTTTTGCTTATGCACATGCCATGCCCTGTTTTGTTTATGTGCTTCTCACCTGGTTGCCCAGGCAGTATTTTTTTCTCTCCCTTGCAGACCCCTGCTGCAGCCGCCTTGTCTCCCTGCTGATAAGGCTGTGGATGAAGCCTGTCTTGCTGAGGAGGCCCTCAGGGTTGAGCAGCTGGAAGAAGTTGAGATAAGTAATCTCCAAGGTGCTCTTGTGCAGGTACGGTGTGGTGCCCTGCTTGGGCTGCGGTCTGCAATGAGCTCTTGCTGCCCTGCAAGTGCTGGGGGCTCAGAGCTTCTCGAGGGGATGCAGTGCCCTGGAGGAGCAGACTGGGCTGGGCACTGCACATGTTTCCCCTCAAGATATCCCCATCCCTGAAGCTGGGGCAGCAGAAGTAGCTGTAGATGCAGGGAGGCCTCATTTCACCCTACAAATGGGCACTGAACAACAAGCTGAGAGTCTGGCGAGTAGGAGGGATATGGGGCATCCAGTCAAGCTGCAAAGTCTGCTCTTTTACTGACAGAATGGGCTTTTTCTCCTTAAAATTGCTTTTTTTTTTTTGTATTTTGAAGGTGGAAGAGGAGACAGCTGAAGCTGCTGAAACCGATGCTGAAGGTACAACCTGTAGCAGTATGATGCCAAACAGGGATGAGGTGAAGCAGTGCCTGGTGGGGGGAGAATCGAGCTTCTCCTTTCCTGTCAGGGAGCAGGCAGTGACTTCTCTGCAGCGTGGGCCTGCAGGGGCAGTCAGGGCTTTCCACTGGGGTAAAACATCCTGTGGGCACAGCACAATGGTAATATTGGCATTGGCTGGAGCTAGCTCTGAATGTACAATGCTGTTGTTTAAGCAATGATGTGAAATAAGGGCTTCTCCTTCAGCTGGAGAATGTGAATGGATAAAAAGTATTTTCTCTACCACTTTTCTCCATTTGGGAAATAACCAATGGCATAAAACACATTTTAATATAACGTTTTAGGAAACAGCGATTGGTAATGAAGTGAGTTCCCATTGCAGTCTGACTGAGCAAAGGCACATCCTGGCAGAACTCCACTGACATCAGGAAGTTGCACAGGGAATGGCTTGGTCTCACCCCTGAGATTCTCTGCATGCAGCCCTTGCAGAGGGGCAATGATGCTAGAAAATGCTGATTTGTCAGGAACTGCAGTGATAGGACAAGGAGTAATGGGTACAAACTGAAAGAGGGGGAATTTAGGTGAGATTATTCGGAAGAAATTCTTCACAGTGAGGGTGGTGAGATACTGGAACATGTTTCCCAGGGAGGTTGTGGATGCCCCAACCCTGGAAGCGCCCAAAGCCAGGCTGGATAAGGCCTTGAGCAACCTGGAGTAGTGGGAGATGTCCCTGTTCATGGGACACAATCTTTGAAGTCCTTTCTAACCCTTAACCTTCCACAAATCCATGACAAACACGTGTTAGGATGCCCACCACTGCAGCCGTGTGCTACCAACCCCTGTGAGCAGCAGGCAGCCCCAAAGCCCCGTCAGCCCCGCGTTTGTGCCGCGACACAACCCTCCCGTCTCAAACCACTCTGTGTTTTATTGCAGCTTCAGATGCCTTGTCCTTTGCTTGAAGCACCTAGCAGGCTCCTAGCAGCATGGCCAGGCAGGCCCGGGACGTCGAGCTAGACCGGCTGGTGCATGCCCAGGCTGTGGCTGGCAGGGACCGCTCCCCTCCCGGCCGTGGGGCTCTAGAGCAGCTCCCCAATGTCCCCAGCTACCGAGCCAGCGCCGCCGCCCGCGCCCCCGGCCCTGCCGCCAGCAAGCCAAAGGCTGGACTTGTCAACCCCAATTTTTGCACTGAGGAGCAATCCCCACTAGGTATTAGAGGTGTTGGCTTTGACCTTGTGTGGTTAGAGGGGCGCAGGGTGGGGGGCATTCCTGGAGTAGTTGCTTTTTTTGTTGCTTCCTGGTGCGGGAAAGAATTAAAAAAAATAAAGCGCGCTTCGTGTTGCGGCACAGAGGCTGGGGAACAAAATACAAGTGTTTGTCTGCTTCTGCCTCATCACTATGTGCCTTTTTAGCTGAGCCTAGAGAGTGTTTGCAAATGCTGTGCGTTTAGAGCTGCTGAGAAAAGCTCTCCTGAAGGACCTGCAGGCAGAGGGTGCAATATCACCGCACAGTTTTCTCCGCAGCACTTGCGCAACCTGCTCATACTAAGGGGAGAGGAAGGTGGAGGTTTGCTGTTCATGGCTTTCTGCCTTGTCTGCAGCTTTGCTTTGCTTTGTTTTTAACCAGCAAGCCAAATTCTGCTGCTTTTCCTTACATGCAACAGCATTTTAACTTTGCAACCCAAACAGGCCTTTTCTCAGGCATTTAATCAAGTCACTCTCCGATCCACTAGCTTCCCACCAGTGTGAAGCAGGAGGAGGTGCATGGGGTCTTTCAGATGTGTGAAAACCTCCCACAGAAGAAATCCTGCAGGAATTCATTGTATTTTGTTAAATAGCTAAGAAAAGACATCACACTTCACAGCTGAGCAACTGTGGGGTCAGCCAAGGTAGCCCCCAGTGCCATTTCTCCTTTGGACAACTGGCATCTTTCTTTACCCACTATAAATATCCAACCTTCCTGCTTCTAACCTTGCCTGTGGAAGGAAGCACTTACAGTAGTAAGTACTTTCAGAAGAAAGAAGCCATAAATGCTTATTTAAATAGTGCCTTATTCTGCATGAAAAGCAAATACTGGTGGTGGTTTGGTGCTGTCACAATCCATGTGTTTACGTTCAGAAGAACCAGGAGAATCTCTACACCCCGGGAGGCAGGTTTGCTCCTGGAAATCCTGGGTTCCTGCTTGGTTCCAGCTGGGAATCCTCATCTCCATCGTTTTCCAAACCACGGGAACCCAAAGCTCAGATGGAGTAGCTGCAATCACTGCAAGCTGGGCAAGCAGAAGGGGGGCAGATGGCAGTTCTTAGAGTGCTAGAAACTGGGAAAAAAAAAATAAAAAAAGATAAAGAAGTGCTCCAAATGCTTAGGAGAAAGGAGAGCCAGGCAAGAAAGGAATGGAGGGAGAAGGAGAGCCCTTCCCACACGCTGCAGGGCCTGGGGCAGCTCTGTGGCAGTGACGGGGTCTGGGGAGCTGTCCTGGCTGCAGGTGGAGCCCTGTGCCCCCCTCACCTGCGATTGTTGTCCTTCCCCACGGAGCAGGAAATTACCCCACCGTGGAGATCAAGGATGTGGACAGCCCAGGCCATGCTGTGGAGATCCATGGTACCCATGGACCGGTGCCTGCTGCCGGAGCTCCCAACCTGCTGGCGGTGCCCGGCGCAGCATCCCCCAGGTACGGCTCTGCCCAGGCGCGGTCCCCGGCTCCCCCCGAGGGTGCCAGGACAGGAACATTGATACAGCCACGTGGAGACACTCCTTCCCAGCAGATCTGGACATTTGTCTGCTGTCCACCTGTCTCTGTCGCCAAGTTCAGAGCACAGAGGGCATATGTGCCTTCATCTTGAAAATAAACAGTGTTCTTCTTGTATTTTTGCTGCGAGGGTTTGCAGCATGTCCCCCCTGGGTTCGTGCTTTCAGAGGAGTGGTGGAAGCCCCATCCCTCAAAGTGTTCAAGGCCAGGTTGGATGGGGCTTGGAGCTACCTGGTCTAGTTGGAAGGTGTCCCTGCCCATAGCAGGGAACTGGACTAAAGCTGGTCTTTTAAGGTCCCTTCCAACCCAGATCATTCAGTGATTCTTTGCTTAGAGAGAGGGAGGATTAAAACTGAGCTTTAAAATTTAGGCTGGAGAAAGCTGATGTATATTTTCTGTTGTGGCACTAGGTTTTTTTGAGGCTCACTCTTGCAGAGGATTCAAAATTAAAGCTAAAGTGGGACTTTTCTGTGCTGAAAACCAGGTGCTGTAGTCATTCTCACTTAATAGTTTGGATCTCTTAGTAAACAAGCTCCTGGAGGAGCAAGTAAAATGGCAAAAATGTCCACAATCCAGTCTGTCAAACAGCTATTTAAACTGGGACAGCAGAGCCCAAGGCTTCATGTAAAATACCTGCAGTGAAAATACTTGAGAGCATTAAACATAGCTGCAGTTACACGTGTGAGCATATAAACCCTTCTGCTGGGTGTCCAGGGAGTGTCTCAAAACAACACTGGGTACTTTTAAAAGCAAGGAACTCCTGCTCTCCTGCATAAATAAATAAAAATTAATTATTGTGAACCAGAAGGAAAATGCTCATGTCCTGCTGGTGTTTCCAGAGGAAGGAGACATAACTCTGCATTGAGCAGTCACCCAGTTATCTCTAAATCCCTTCTACTGGCCACAGTCTTATTTCCTTCATGGCTCTGTGAAGGATTTGAGTGTACATGGTTTAGAGAGAGTCATAAAAGACTCATTGCAAATGAGCCACACACCTAACTGGAGCCTGGAAACAAGCTCCTGCAGATACCCAGGATACCCTGGCTGATGCCATATGGGCAGGGACCCTGTGCATCCCACGTGTTCTAGTGCCTGTGGCCTCTGGCTGCAGCATTCTGAGGGCACCAAAACCAGAGCAAGGTTTAGGCTGGGACAGGGCCTTCCATCCCATCTGGCTGCTCCCTGGAGGGGGCTGCAGGGCCCCCTTACAGAGCAAGGGGCCGTCAGTGCAGGACAGCCCAGTGGGGCAGCATGGTGCCCTGAGGGCACAGAGGCAGGGGAAGGGCAGCTGGAGACTGCTGAGATGCAATGGATGTTGTCCCAACCACATCCTTGGCACGACTATTTCTCCAAACTGGTGTTTTGGGAACCCCTCCATCCTCATTGGAGAGTACTTTAAAAGCGGGGGGTTGTGGTTTTCCTGCACCCCTGCACTGGGCACTTGGGAAAGGAAGGTTCATCGGTCTTGTTCACCTGCTCCACCTCCCAGCAGGACACACCTGAGAGCCAGCAAGGCTGAAGGTGGTGGGTTCACAGCATTTGGCTTTCTTTGGGAGATCTGTGATGGCGGGATGACCTCCCTCAGCATCCTGCTTTCTCCTGCTCCGCACACAGCACCGAGACATTTTGTGCCATGGCCAGTGGGATCAGCAGCTGTGGTGGCAGGAGACAACTTCTTCATCACAGCTAAAGTTCTGGACTTGGCTGCAGGTTTGCAAACAGGTCTAGATTTTTGCTGGGACTGTTATCTTCATATTCTGCTTCCCTTCCAACACCTTTCTTGCCCATGTGTAAGGAAGTCACCTGAGAAACCCGTCTGTGCCAAAGGGAGCCCCAGCTATGTTAGAACACAGCTTCTAGCTATTGCTGGCACTGCAGTTTCCTCACCTGCCTCTTGAAGTGCAGAGATGTGAAGCTGTGGCACTGGGGGCAAGCACAGGATGATACCTGCCCTTCGTGCATCTTGCCAGGTACCCAAACTGGGCTGCAAAATGGGCCAGGTGGCTGCATGTCCATGGAGCCAAGGGCTTGTTGGTGGTCAGGGAGAAACAGGGCTCTAGCAGGAAAGGAACAGGGGGGTCACTCCCATCTACTCCAGGAAATGTCAGAAATTAGGGGAAACTGACCCTAGTAGGGGAAGGGGGAAGAGAAAATTGGTCCCACCTGGCAGGAGGAGGAGGGGGAGGAGGGAGAGGAGCCAAGCTGATTCTCACTCGCTGTGTTTGTGTCTGCAGGAGGAAGCAACTGGTCCCAGAGGATGGTCTGGACAAGGGGCTGGTGAGCCAATCCCCCAGGCCAGTGCTGGGCTGGGATGAGGAGCAGAGGGAAAGGTGTGTAATGGGCCCGGGGGTTCGGGATCAGCCAGGGGGTCACACCCTGGGGCTGGGCTGGAAATAGCAAAGATCCCAGAAGTGCTGGGATACCAAAGGGAGAGGGAGCCATGCCACGTGGTGTTCTTCTCACTGCACAATACCCAAATAAACACAGGTCAATCCTAATTCAGATGCTGTAGGTTAAAGAACAGGTTCAAGGCCAGGCTGGATGGGGCTTGGAACAACCTGCTCTAGTGGAAGGTGTCCCTGCCCATGGCAGAGAGGTTGGAAAGAGATCACCCTTAAGGTCCCTTCTAACCCAAAGCACTCCAGGTTTCCATGACCCCCTGAACCTGCCCTGCGGCTTTCCTACCTTCATGAAATGCCCGCTGGTGTCCCCACAGCCTGCCCCAGCGCATCGGCTCGGCCACGAGCCTGAGCAGCGCCGTCATCAACACTCGGCTGCAGGAGCTGGTGAGGCTCTTCAAAGAGAGGACAGAGAAGGTGAAGGAGAAGCTGATTGACCCCGATGTCACCTCGGATGACGAGAGCCCTGTGGCATGTGAGTTCAGGTGGGGCTGGGAGTGTTTCCCTGCTGGGTCCCTGTCCACGCTGTGTTTTCTGGGAGGCAGCTGTTTTATTAACAGTTTAAAGACCTTAAAAAAAGCTGAAGAAAGAAGATTTTTCTGCCCTTTGAAATAACTGTGTGGCCTCTCCCAGCTCCCACCAAGCCAGCACCTGCAGCAGCACCGGTGCCTGCCCCAGGAGGAGAGCTGGAGGGGGACAAACCCTCGGGGGATGACCACTACTGTGAGATGCTGTGCTGCACATTCAAGCACCGGCCCTGGCTGGACCGCCTGAAGAGCTACCAGTTCCCCAGCAGCATCGACCCCCTGACCAGTGAGTGATGGAGCACAGCCTCGTGCCTGGGCTGGGGGCAAGCTGGTGGGACTGGGGCGAGAGGGTGAGGAGGTATAAAGAGGGGAGAACTAAGCAAGAATCAACTTAGTTTTCACTAAAGCACAGAATTTTAAATTCCTCTGCAAGGCACAGGCTTTCCTAAATACTTCCAGCTGAGGGTGTCAGGAGCATGACTGGGCATTCTGCTTTCCCTGTGGCATGGACACCCCCCCCCAAAAAAAATTAAAATCACAAAAGAAGATTCCACTGCCTTGTGGCCACCCCACAGAAGGTCAGCTCTTTCTTTAGTCTCTCATATTCCTCAGTCCTTTGGAAGCTTCTGGGCTCAGGCATCCAGCCACCAGTCCAGCATGGCTGGAAGGGAAAAACAGGGAAGTTGGAGTTGTGGGAGCAGAACAAAAGCAAATATAGCTAAATGAGCAGAGTTAGAAGAAGCTTTCTGATGAAGCATGGTGTGTTCTGTGACCAGGGGTGCTCACTCTGTGCTAGAGCCCAGCTGCAGTTAAACACTGTCACCAAGAGACTTCCTGCAGGTTTTCCTGTTGTGCTGAGGGCAGGTCAGGGGATAGACGATTCACAGAAGGGGATAGAAGATGCAGGAGATTCACACAGAGGAGGGATGTCTGCCCAGCTGGTCATGGTGTTGTTCCCTGTGTGCAGATCTGATGTACGTGCTGTGGCTGTTCTTCGTTGTCATGGCCTGGAACTGGAACTGCTGGTTGATCCCCGTCCGCTGGGCTTTCCCCTACCAGACTCCAGCAAACATCCACTACTGGCTGCTGGTGGACTACCTCTGTGACCTCATTTATCTGCTGGACATCCTCATCTTTCAGACCCGGCTGCAGTTCGTGCAGGGGGGAGACATCATCGTGAGTGCAGGGCACTGCATCCCACACCTGGGGACCAGCCGTGGGGACCTCCCATCCCCCTGAGGGACACGGGTGCTGCTGGGCTCTGAACGGAGCTCTCCGGGCTCTCTCACCATGGCCATGGCCATCAGGGCTCTGTCCCCTCTCAGAGACCACGAGCATCTCTCCTGACACGGACTGGATAAGCCAGCAGCCTTTTTGTCTGCCAAACACACCATTTTTTCCTACAAAATCAGTGCTATCCTATCCAGGAACTGTGTGGCCTCTGGTTCCTGCTCCTGGGTAGGGATGCCTGCTCCAGGGGGTGGTTCTGCCCGTGGTGAGGTGCTCATTGACTGGCCCTGGCACAGCCCTGTGGTGCCAACCTTGGGCATGGGCGTAACAAACTCTGGGGTTAATTTTCAGGAGCACGCCAGGCAGGATGCATCAGCAATTACAATCTGAACACACAGATCACATGCCTGAGATAAGGGAAGCCCTTGATTTCATTTCCATATTCAATTAAACAAACTGTGAAAAATCACACCTTGAGGGTACAGCCTCCCCATGATTGTGCAGATGCTCAGACAGGCAGTTTCCCCTGCAAATGCTGATTTTTGTGGTGCTGGCACTGTGACGTGCTTTTCCTGGGATGCAAAATTAGCACAGGATGTCCCAAGGTAGGATGGGAAGATGGCATGCAGCCAGGACTTCTCTGCTCGCTCTTCTCCCCTTTCCAGGCACAAAGGGAGCATCTTCCCTGTTGTGGTGCAGAGGAGGAAAGCCAGGCATGACCATGTTTGCCCCAGCTTCCCTTTCTCTAAGCAATAATCAATATTCCTCTCTCTCCTTCCTGTTCCCCTCCAGACTGACAAAAAGGCCATGAAAGAGAACTACCTGCGATCACAACGCTTCAAGGTTTGTCAAAACTTTCTTCATTCATCTGAATCTTTAATTTGCCCTGTGGGTTGCAGCCCCACCCCAGTGCTCCTGCAGGTCCCCACAGAGGTTTCTCCCTGTGTGGATTTCAGATGGATGTGCTGTGCCTCCTGCCCCTGGATTTCCTCTACTTCAAAGTGGGTGTCAACCCCCTGCTGCGCTTCCCTCGCTGTCTGAAGGTGAGTCAGGGCTTACAGAAGCAGGCAGAGCAGCAGCTGCAGGGGACTTGGAGGAGACCTGTGCTGGCTGGGGTGAGCTATGGCTTGTCACACTCATCCATGATGACAGAAGATTATAAAGTGGAGGGAAGTTCTGTCCCAAAGGCTTTGCAGGGCTGTTGGTCAAACACTTCATTTCAATCCTAACTACTCACATTTGACTAGAAGGGTTCTTGTGGATGGAGACAAATCTGTCTGTGGCAGTCCATGCTGCAGGGGGGCTGTGGGAGGGAAATGAGGGACAGAGGGGTTTTATGGGGAGGTGACCAGGAACATGCAGCTCTCTTTCTCCTCCCAGTACATGGCCTTCTTTGAGTTCAACAGCCGCCTGGAGGCCATCCTGACCAAGGCTTACATCTACAGGTGAGGGGCATGGGGGGAAGGAGGGAGCATGGAATTGCTGTTTGCCACTGGGGAGGAAGGTTCTGTTCATTCTGCACTTGTTCTGGGTCCCTGATTTATTTCCCTGCTGTGCCTGGGCTGGCTGACACAGACTTTGGCTGATGTGGTAGGACATCAGGGTCCCAAAGCCTGCATGAGTAGGATCACCTCTCTCCAGCCCATGGGGACGGGGGTGCTGGCAGTGAAGGAGAGCCATCAGCAGATAAACTGCTTTTTCTGGCACTTCTGCAGCTGCAGGGCTGCAGGAGGCAGCAGCAGGATTGGGGTGCTCTGTGATTCCTGCATTGGCAGGACCTGTATGGTCACCACTTCAAGGCTCCTACTGATTCCAGCAGACATCCTCTCCCTTCCTGCTCTCTCCTGGGTTTTTCTGCAGGGTGATTCGGACCACTGCCTACTTACTGTACAGCCTGCACATGAACTCCTGCCTCTACTACTGGGCCTCAGCCTATGAAGGACTGGGTTCCACCACCTGGGTCTATGATGGGGAAGGAAACAGGTACAAGCCAGGGCTGGGGGTGTCACACAGCACAGCCTGCTGTGATGAGCTGGAGCAATAAGGGAGGTGTTGGGATACAGATGGATTTATAAAAACCCCTGAAGCAAAGGGCTGGGAGTGCCAGGAGAAGATGTGGAACCAGGGAGAATGACAAGGATGGGAGGGATGGGATGTGCAGTAATACACAGAGCTGCGAGGGCAGAGGTGGAAAGCAGTGGCAGCTTGAAGTGGCTGAAAAAATGGGATCCTGGTGCTGGGAAGCAGAGGAATGCTCCCTGGCCAGCCAGGATTGAAGAATGAATCCTGTTTCTATCTGTGTTGACTGTTGCCAGATTGGGATCAGGCCCCTCAGACCAGCCAGGCTGTGAGATGGGGACAGTGGCCAGCCCTTCCCCTCACCATGGCAACATGGTTAAATGTCCCCTGTGCTGATTGATGCTACAGGCAGAGTCCTTGGCTCACAAGCTGAATGCCCACATCTGTGCTAATGTTGCTGCTAGAGAGTTATTTTGTATCCTAGACAAATCTGTGTCCATCTTCAGGTGGAAACAAAACTCCCAAGGGAATGCCCAAGACCAGGGCATCAGGAATTCACTTGGCTTCTCCTAAGTGCCATGCCAACAATTTGCCCACAAACACATTTTTTCCCCCTGATGATTTCTAAAAGTGTAAAAGTTGCTGAAAATATATTGCTGATTTATGGCAGAGCTGTGAGGAGCAGAAAACAGGAGTAACCAGAGCAGCTGAGCCTCCCAAGTGGAGGTTCCTGGAGGGACCATTGGTTCCCCTGCTCCTGTAGCATCTCCAGAAGCACCTGCAGGTGTGGTGGGGAGTCTGAAGCCCTTCAGTTTTTCTCTTTGTCATCCATAATAAGTCTCAGCAAGCTCTGGCTTGCCATGGTCAGAGGCTGTGAGCTCAAAACAGAAATGCCTTCAGAGCTGCCTCCTCTTCTCCTCCCAGCTACATCCGCTGTTACTACTGGGCAGTGAAAACCCTCATCACCATCGGGGGCCTGCCAGACCCCAAGACGCTGTTTGAGATCGTCTTCCAGCTGCTGAACTACTTCACAGGAGTCTTTGCTTTCTCCGTCATGATAGGGCAGGTGAGTTGGGATAGGGGGGATTTACAGCCTCAGGTGAGGGTGGTTTTGGTGGGTTTGATGCACAGGTTTGCTTCTCAGGGTTTGTTTCCCCCATGGGAAGACCTGCTCAGCATTGGTGCAAGCCAAAAAGGATTTGGCAGATGCTGTTGGGGCTTGGCTTACATGCTTAACCTGCTGATGGATAAGTGACAGCAACTTAAAGTTCTCCTCCTCCTCTTCCATTTAGATGAGAGACGTGGTTGGTGCTGCCACTGCAGGGCAAACTTACTATAGGAGCTGCATGGACAGCACCATTAAATACATGAACTTCTACAAGATCCCCAGAACTGTTCAGAACCGGGTGAAGACGTGGTACGAGTACACGTGGCACTCCCAAGGCATGCTAGGTGAGATCCAACCACCCCAAGCTCATGTTTTACTGTGGTTGCTCTGCAGAGCTGAAATGTCAAATAGCACTACAGTTTGGGGGTGGAGGGTGGATTATTTTACTCTTCAGTATAGGGGCTTGCTTGCCCACCTACAGAGTTTACAGACTGCCACTGGGTCACAGCACTTTGGTGACTTGGCATCACTCACAGCACACTGAGTCCAGTGTCCCACGTGCCCTGCAGAGAGGACAGTGCCTGTCCATCACTGGCCAGAGTGTGTCCAGCAGCAAAGCCACCAGCTCACCCTACCAGTAAGTTATCAGGCAGGACCAGAACCTTGTGTCAGCCCTTGTGGACAAGAAAAATGCTGACTTGGGCTTGGTGGTCTGTTTCTGAGAGCCATCAGGGCAGGGATAATGCAAAGGGTGATTTTCCATCATATTTCAGATTTAGACCTGCAGGTTGCTGGGTGGAAAGAGGCTGGAGGAGACCCTTCTGTGTGAGCTGGCTCCTGCCCTCTGCCACCACAATGTGGGCCACCTCCCCACTGCCACATGAAGGACACACTCTCTGATCAAGTGTTGGAAGCAGCCACTTTTCTGCTTTGTCTCACAGATGAGTCGGAGCTGCTGGTGCAGCTGCCAGACAAGATGAGGCTGGACATCGCCATTGACGTGAACTACAACATCGTGAGCAAAGTGGCCCTTTTCCAGGTACCCTCTGCAGCACAGGCCCTGGCTGGCACAGCCTGCCACACCAGCACAGACTAACGCTGGCATGTTCTGGCTCTGTTTGGGCTCAGGGCTGTGACAGACAGATGATCTTTGACATGCTGAAGCGGCTCAGATCAGTGGTCTTCCTGCCCAATGACTACGTGTGCAAGAAGGTAACGAGACACTTGGGAGTCACAGCCAGGCTGTGCAGGCCTAGGGAAAGCCAGGCCTGTGCCATCGTCCTGGGAGGGAATTTGGAGCAAAAGCATCCTCGGCTGCAGCTGCTCTTGTACAAAACTGACCCTTTCTGCTGCAGCTCTGAACAGCAGGGGAAAGCTGGTTGGAGTCTTTGGGAGGCTGAGATGGGAATGCTGAGGAGCGAGCACCATCAGGACATTTAGGGAGCTTGGAGAGGGCAGCATGGTCATGGGGATTTCCAGCAAGATGCTGCTTAGGGCATCCATGAGGTCTCCCTGTTTCTGGGCATCCCAGGCAGCTCCCCCCTTCCCTGCAGGGAGAAATAGGCCGTGAGATGTACATCATCCAGGCAGGACAAGTGCAGGTGCTGGGGGGACCCGACGGCAAATCCGTGCTGGTGACTCTGAAAGCTGGATCTGTCTTTGGGGAAATCAGGTGAGTGAAGTATTTCAGGGAGCTGGGGAAATACAGCTTGTGGGCTTTGGGTGAGGAGCGTGGGAAGTGGAAGGATCAGCAGCATCCCAATTAATCTTTGTGGCTGAGACAAAAAATTACGGCTTTTCTGCTGTTTTTGTCATCATGTTGTCTTCTGGCCGGGGAGCTGGTGATGGTAAATATGGATGGAGGAATGGGAAAACTGATCAGAAAAGGTGTTTCACAAATATAGTCTCCCAGCCGTTAATCCACCCCTGTCATGGGAATGAAAAGCCCTGTACCAGTGTAACACAGCAATACTGCTGCCTCCCCACAGCCCAGCAGACACTAGACTGGTGTAAAACACAATATTTAACCCTAAAAACCCACAAGCAATTTTTTATATAGTACTCCATGCAGCGTTTCCCTTTATCACCCTTTAAAAATTGTGCATGATAAATTCTATCAGGAGAGAAAATTAAACTCCGAGTCCCCTGAAGGAGAGGTGGAAACGTGTGAAGGAGATTTGGCGTTCCGAGCCTGTGAACAGAGGTGTTGATGTCTTGTATTCTCTCCCAGCTTGCTGGCAGCAGGAGGGGGAAATCGCCGGACAGCAAACGTCGTGGCCCACGGCTTCGCCAACCTTTTTATTTTGGAGAAGAAGGACTTGAACGAGATTTTGGTGCATTACCCGGAGTCTCAGAAGCTGCTGCGCAAGAAAGCCAAGTGCGTGCTGGGCTGCTGCTTTCTAACCTGCGGGGGTTTATAAACAGCAGAGCCCGGGCTTCGCAATCTCCGGGGATTTTTCTCTGTGTGTGAAGCCCTGGGGAAGCTCCTGCTGCTGCTGCTGCCCCGCTCCCGGAGCCGGCTCCGCTCGGGGCTGCAGCCGCGGTCCCTCGGCAGAGGGCACCCGGCTCTCGCCGCTGCCTCGGGAGGCTCCGGCTGCCAAAATTCGCCTCTCAAAGGGGGTGGAGCATGGCCAAAGTGCCTTCGTTTAAAAAAACCTGTCCAAAGATTCGTTTTCGTTTCGCTTAGATTTGTTATTCTGTCCTCCGTAAGACACATAAAGACCCTTGTCCTTTTGACGCTCGGTTTCTCTGCATTATAAATCCAGCTTTTAGCACGTGTTCCCGGACTGACATCGCCTCTCCCTTTCCGTGCTGTAGGAAAATGCTGAAAAGCAACAACAAACCCAAAGATGAGAAAGGAGGCCCCGGAGATGCATTGATCATCCCCCCGAAAGCTGAGACCCCAAAGCTGTTCAAGGCTGCCCTGGCTGCCACGGGGAGGATGGGGGGCAAAGGGCCCCTGGGGCGGCTCCGCTGGAGGCTGAAGGAGCTGAAGGCGATGCGGGAGACACAGGTCAGCATGGAGAGCTTGAGGTGCCTTAAAGGACTGAGCTCAGGATGTTGGGGTCTGTCAAAGCGTGAAGGGGTGAGCCAACATCTTGCACAGGCCTTTGGGGGAATGCCAACGTCCCACAGGGGTTTGCTTTGCTGTACAAAAGGGAAAGACATTAAATTTTTGCCTACCTGTGCTAAGCCTGAGTCTAATTTCTAGCTAGGCTAGAGCCACAGACAGATGAATGTCACTTCTCTCCTGCAGAGACAGAGCCACTCAGAATTAACCAGTGCACTGGCAGGGACACCCAGCACAGCCCAGTTGATATTTCAAAGGTTTCACCAGAGATCCCCACAGCAGGCAATGCCATCCTGCCACTTCTTTTCCTCCCCTTTGCTTTTTGTCATGAGCAGCTGAAAAGGAAAACCACCCTGAACTTTTTTTATTTTTCCTTTTTTTCTTCCAGCTGTCTCGACTAAACTTGTAAGGAAAATTTTGTCTCCATGCAGACCTTTTTACTATTGTCAGCATGGAACCAGGCACACATCACATCTGGATGTGCAGAGGGAGGGGAAAGAGGAGCTGATAGGGAGTGTGGTGGCCTTGAGGCTGGGTAAACACCAGCCAAGCATAGCTGCAGTCCTTCAGAGGCATGAGAGGCTTCAAACAATGTGGTGTTTAACATTAATCCATAACCAGTTAACAGCAGCAGAGAGCAGTGTCACTGAGGGCTCTGAATGAGTGGAAAAAGCCCAGTTGCTGAAGGGTGCATGGGAACTAGCCCCACTGATGGGTGAGCAGGGCCCTGCTAACTTCCCTCTGCATGGCACATCCGTGGGGGAGGCTTCTAAGGCTCCTCTCTAAAGGAGGACAGGGCAGTCTGGGACTGCTCCCTCACAGCAGCACTGGTGCCAGGTTTGGCCAGGATCAGCCCCTCCAGAAGCTTCAGGAGCAAAACAAGAGTTAGTGCAGATCTGAGAAAGCTCTGTCGTGATCCCCTCTCCGCGTTTCTCAAGGCATGCAGGATGAAATCCAGCAGCTCCTCTTGCGGGGAGCATCTCTGGCATCAAGCTGACATCCCAAGGCAGAGATCCTGTGGTGGAGCCACAGAACACCTGTCCAGCTTTGCCATGTTAGGGGTAGTGGGCAACGATCTGCTAAGGTTGGTTTTGCCTCTTTTTTTACTTGCAGGTTTCCAGTGTCAGCCCAACCCCACCAAAATCATCAGTGCACCAGAGATCACCTGCCATGTCCCACAAAGCACAAACCCGCCCAGGAGAAGAAATATCCTCAGAATCTTCTGATCATTCAGTCACCATTCGTGTGTTTTCCACAGCAAAAGAAGAAGAGGAAATCCTTGCTGCTGAGATTTCAGAGAAAGATGAAAAAAAAGAAGAGAAATGAAACAGCAGCAGGTCTCAGGGCAGGCGTAGGAGTCAGGCAAATGCCTGGGCTAGCAGATTTTTGTTGTTAATGATTTCCATGCAGTGGCTGTAGGTTTTGCTATGTGCCGTGGGTAGGATCTGCCTCTCTCTTTTGCCCAAACTCTCAATCACTGCTGATAAAAGCCTCTGCCATCTGACCCAGAATCATACAAGGTTTCTATGCTCCGCAGATCTATTGAGCACCTTTATGAATTTTCCACTAAATCTCAGCCCCCTTGCTTTGAAATCCAGCCTTGTGGAGGGAGAGCTATGGAAAAACTGCTTTTTATGGCTCTGGATGGTTAATGAGTGCTCAGACAAAGCATGAAGAGTTATTCACCTCTGACAGCTGAGTCACTGCTTGGCTAGAAACAACCAAGGGAAAAAAAACAACAAGGTTTCTCTGTTGGACTCAAGGTTGACAGCAGCAGTGGGGAGTGATTCATCTGAAAAGGATGTGGGCTATGCTCACAGGCCAAGCATGGAGCAAATTAAACTGTCCTGAGAATGCCAAGCTCTGTCCCCAAGTGCCTAGACTGCAAGATGCTTGAGGGTCCCTGCATGGTGCCAAGACAACCTTGGCTTTGCCACTGGGAAGAATTGATGTCAGCTGTCCACCCTGGGAAGGTGGTGGACTCTCCATTACTGGGGGTTCTTATGGACAGGTTCGATGAGCATCTTTCAAGGATAGAGAAGCACAATCCTGGATGAGATGTTCCTGGAGGTCTTTTCCAGCCTTGGGATTTTTCTGTGCTGCCACAGCTGGGAGGGATAGAGCAGGAAGGGAGAAGCTGAGTTGCTTCCCAGCTGGGAGGGGAAAGAGAAGTGCAGTAAGTGCTCTCCTCTCCCAGACAGTGTTTCAGAGTCAGCTCAGAGCCTGTAACGTGCCAACAAGCATGCACGAGCATGCAGGTACTCCCCTGCACTCATTGCTGGATGTCCACATTTCCAGCAGGCAATTTCCAGCCTTTCAGTCACTTCAGACCGGCTCTTGGCCACGTTTCCCATGGAGAGAGAAGCCACTCTGGTGCTGCTCATCACTGGAGTCTTGAAGTCACTCTCCCAGCCGTGCTGGGACCGGGTGCTGGAGGGGAAGGGAAACATCTGGTCAGCAGCCAGCACGCAGCTGCTGGCTCAAGGTGTCCCATCTTCTTCCAGCACACCAGGTCCTTCCTCATCTTCCTCAAAGCCAGCACCAAGCAGAGCAAGCTGCTGGTGAGCTGGGAGGTGATGAGTAGTGCATGAGGCAGTGCTGGATGAGGTTCTGCAGCTCCTCCCCAAGTTTTGGGCTGTCCCTGTCTCCACAGCACCACTGGCTCCATCGAGAGGAGCCACTCTCCATCCTCTGGAGGAAAAGGGCAGGTTTTGCTGCAGGGCCCTGTCACCATGGCCAAGGGGCTTCTCAGGTGTTCAGCAAATGCTGTGAGCAGTGCTGCAGGTTCCACAGGTCTGGCTGTGACACAGCCGGGCTCTTGGTGAAGGGTGGCAGTGCTGGCGTCACCCCCTGGGTGATCCCTCTTCCCATCAGCAGTCTGGGGCTGACCTTCACCTCCTTTGGGATCTTCTTTTCTTGCTTTTTTGCCCCCTTCTCTTGCAAAATGTATGGGTTTCTGGGGGGGAAAAAAAAAAAAGGAAAAAAAAAAAGCCAAAATAGATGTTAGCATTAGTTAACTATGTCTTGCTTTCTTTTAAACAAATTTAATGAGCTCCACTATACTGCAGGAGGGTCTGGAGCCATCACATTGCAGGGGAGAGCCTGAACTCACCCAAACCTCCCTGAATATTTCTGATCCTCAGTCATTTGCAGGTGGTTTCCTGCCAGGTAGAAGATTTTGGTGGGGAGTGCAAAGTTGAGGGTTTTTTGCATTCTTTAAATATTTATATAATCAAACCAGGAAACATGCAAACATCAAATTGAGGCTTTGATTTGCTGCTATGATTTAATATTCTTTAGAAAAAGCATTTAAATAAATAGTGGGCTATAATTGCTCTCATAATTCACTGTATCTACAATAAACACCATGTAGATTGCCATTCATTTGCTGTGGATTTATTTCAACATTCCAGCTGTTTTCCAACTTCTTGCTCACTCATGCACTGAGAGAGCCAGAAAATCCTCACATGCAATTCACATTTCCCAATAAATAATTGAGAGGCTCAGAGGTCACATAATACTGGTAGTAGAATTGTAATTTGTCTTAAATCACCAATAGGAGGGGGAAAAAAACTTTCTTAAATAGCAAAGATTGCTTGAAGAAATCCTAGTTTTCAACATGCAGTGTGAGCTGGTGATGGATACACAACTGGTAATTCTGGAACCATGGGGAGATCTGAAATTATCCTTCTCTGTGATCTGTTTATGGCTTTAGTTCTTTGGAGAGATTATTCTCCGGGTAATAATTAAGGTCAAGGTAGGGCTAGGCTTGCAGGCTGGGCTGGGAGTTGAGCTCAGGTCTATTTGCTCTGCAGGACTATTTAGAGAGGCCAGAGACTTTAGTGCTTCTTGTTTTGGGGGTTGCCATGGATTAGCTTTCTTCTGTTGAACTTTTAAATTCCATTCATTTACCAGTTTTGCTGTATTTGCAATGGGCTTCCTTTGCATTGGTTCCAATAAATATCTTGCAGAGGACACTCATCATCACTGCCCTTGGAATGTTCCTGATAGATTTGGTAACACTCCATGTACCTTTACTGCATCTCTTATTAGCTTTTGCTCATTCCTCTTGACGTCCTTAAGTCTTGGGTCGATCTGATATGAGATCCTCTCATAATATTAATGCAGCACTTGGGGAATCTTGGCGGGCAGCTGCTTATTGCCATAGAAACCAGGTCTTCTTGCAGTGATATTTTAGCTGTTGCTGCTTTTTAGTGAAATAAGTGGAATAGAGAAGTGCTGGAGGAAGAAGCAGAGCTTGTCTTTGGAGCTGTAGGAATGTGGTAGGATTTGCCTCACTGTCACCGGTAGCATCTTTACCAGAGGCTTTATATATACTGTTTATATTTTTATATATGTAATTATTTTTGTTATACTGGAGTTGTATTCATATTCCTTGTGGTCTGTGTCTTTCAGAGAATTGATACTGATTCAATGTTCTGTAGGAAATTAGAGAAGACAAATGTCTCCCATTAGAAAAATCAGCTGACAGAAGGAATAATATAACCCACCACAGACATCTGACAGTGCAGGAAGTTATTTTCCCCTGGACAGAAACAGGGCAGGTAGCTCTCTGTATTTATAGCCAGAGAAATCTTTTAAAAAGATTAAGTGCAATTGCAGGTTAATCACTGATAAGGTTCTAACGAAAGTAAAAGCAAATAAGCAGGTTTGGGGATTAGACTCAGGTCCAGAAAGAAATTGCAGGATAAATGGAAAGCCCAGTTAAATGGTGTTTAATTAGAAAGCTTGAAATAAAATTAAGCACTTCAACCTTGAATCCTGCAGACCTTAACCAGCAGGACACACTCCTGGTTCTGGGAACAGTCTGTAACCCACTTTTTCTGTCTATATATATATTTTTTTTTTCCTTTGTGTAGCTCTGCTTCGAGTGACACTTCCATATAAATCTGTCTGAATCCCTTTTACCTTCCCCTAAAATGGAGCTAATACAAGTCTGTTTTTCTCTGCTTTGAGCACACAGCTCTTTTTAAGTGCAGTAATGGTCCCACTGGAGTTAACACCCTGAGAACAGCCAGGCCACCTTTTGGGAAGGGGCCTCACAGAGGTTCACAAACCTGTGGATGTTCATGACAGCTCTTGCTAGCAGCAGCCTAGGCTGAGCTTAGGCTCAATGACCTTTTCCTTTCTCATTCTTTCCTCGTTTACCTGTTCTGGTTTTGGGATGAAACTTGGGATGAACTTTGGTTCATGCCCTAGGGTGAATGCCTGAGGGAGATCTGTGCAGTATCAGTGAGCTGGGTTTGATCATCTCAAGAATTGAAGCCTAGAAACCTATCTTCTTTCACACAGTTTTCCCTGCTTTTGGAAGTCCTTTGATGCATGAGAAGAGCTGGAAATCAAACAGTTAAAGTCTCAAAACTGTTTTCTTGGATGAACTGGAAGAAATCTGAGAAGAAATGTACACAACTGGAGAAGTGAGATAAATGGGCTTGTGGGGATGCCAGAGAACACTCCTGCCAGCTCTGGGCTGTGACATCCTGGGGACAACCAGCGTGACCCAAATTGCTTCACCCCTTTTGCAGATGCTCCTTTTGCAAACCTGAGCTCAGCGGGAGCATCTCTGCTCCCTCCCCAGCTGTATCTGCCAGCAGAGGTGGGGAGGGCCGGCTGTGCCTCCCGCAGTGGGGTTGCTGTGGGGGCTGGCTGAGCATCCAGGGCACCCTGGAGCCTCCCACGGCTCTCCCCGGGGATGAGCTGGATGTGTCCCAGCCTGAGCATCACGGGGACGGTCCGAACTTGCCCCACGGTGAGCATCACATGAGCTGCCCCATGATGCTCTGCCTTAGCAATAACCAGAGGAATGAAGACCAGCCAGACCAGTCACTCATTCTAGATAAGAGGCTCTTTTGTGCTGCAGAAATACCAATATCACGTGCAAATCCCTCCGCTGCCATGGTTACTGGCCACCGTCGGAGCCTCCGGCGAGAGGCGGCTGTGGCATCGACAGGGCTTCAGCTCTTCCCTTCCCGGGGAAAACCCCAAAAAACCTCACTCGGCCCCAAAAAGGGCTGCAGGTGCCTGCAGGGAGCCCTGGCCCGGCATCGCGGTGATCACAGCCCGCTGCCGAAGGAGGTTCTGCCCTGCCACTGGGCATTACGCTCTGGGTTTTCTAAATTTCTCGCTAATAGCCCGAGATATGACTAAAAAATGAGAAAATAGCGCTGCAGCTTGGGTGGGCAGGGATCAGCCATGCCCCATTTCCTGCTCTTCTGGCGTTAGGAACAGCTTGACCTCTTGGCACTCTTGCTTTTTGCACTAATGCTCTTCTCATTAAAGTGCTTTCCTGAGCACTAATTAGGGCGGTTTTCCTTTTGTAAATTAGCCTGATACGATCTGTGTGTCTTGGCAGACACCCTCGGAGCAGGAACCCAAGGCTTTGAGTTCGATCGCTGTTTATTTTGCAAATCTCCCCAGTTTCAATGTTCTTAACTAACTGCCTTCTAGAAAGTGCTGGCAGGTGGAGATTAATGGGAAGGAAATGGGGTTTTCCAGCTGGCCTGCCTTGAGAAACAGGAAACTTTTTGGTGCTACAGGGGCCTTCCAGTTGCTGTGGGTTAATGGGTGCTGTGGGCACACAGAAGCTCCGTCCTGTCCCATCCTTGCATACTGTGCAATGGAGGAGCAGGGCTGCAAGGAGAGGCCCTGCCTGAACCAACCTTTAAACAGGCAATAGAAAAAAGGAAATCAAGTTAACACGTTCATTTTCTGCAGTTAATCAGAAATTTTCTTGTGACCCAAGCAACCCCAAA